GTTTTTCCAATTAATTCCGGAATCTCTCATTCGGTAAAGGGAAAAAATCCTTCCTTCTTTTTTCATGAGGGAAAACAGCTCTGATACTAGAACTCTTAGACGTCAAATAAAAGAGGAATGTTGCAAAGATTACAGGATTTTACCCTTAAGTTTCTCTTTTACTTTCAGGAAAACTCTACAATATGAAAAAACAAAACATAAATTATCTTCATTTGAAGTGTTTTTGCAAAGTTTCATATCCGGAAATATAGGATTCAGCCGTTTTTGTTATTTTCATTTGACGTCATTTAAATTGCATATGTTAGAATATTAATTTATCTTTTATCCTCAGTAAATTCTTGAATTGGATTAATACTGAAAACACACATTTCGTTCCTGAAGTGGTTGTGAAGACGCCAAATGTGGCTAAGCATTGGCGTCCTTTGTTTTCACGGAAGAAACGGCAGGAAACTGTCAAATTCGAGTGTTGTTAGTATTGGAGTGTTGGGGAAGCCTAGTTATTACTGAATTACACTTTTGAATAATGTAAATGGCTCGCCATAAAACCTTGATAAGGTTACTCAAAATGAATAAAGTGGACGCCCGATTTCAACGCTCTAGAAATAGTAAAACATATGGAAAAAAACCTCCGTATATGTACAACATTTTTTACTCCAGTCAGCCTTTGCGGTCACACCCATGTGACCTATTGTAATGGAGAAACGCTCCCATTCTATTTTCAACTTCCTTTTTTGTCTTCATAATTTATTACAGCGCAGCGTCGCTCTGCGGACAAAAATGATCACCAAGTCTCAATCGAATCAATGGAAATCACTCTCTCAATTTCTCACTCGACGTAAATAATGCTTGCACATAAAACTATAACTTCCCAGTACATGTTGCCAAAACACTTTGTGTTCAGTTTAGCGAGAAATACTAACGAAAAATGTCTCAATTTGTTCCGGCTTGAATTGTTCGATCATAACCACAGTTGATGCCTTTTCCACGTGAAGTAGGAAAAACTGAATCAAACCTGCCCGTATCTAGGACTATATAAGTCTCGGATTCAAATGGTTTAACAATTGCATTATCATTGTTCTTTTGCTATACTGACACGAAACTTTTTTGGAATTCAAGAATAAAATGTCGAATATAATTGTAAACAATAATCTAAGATTTCCCTTACCATTCGCTAGCTTTCACTTGCTCTGCTTTCCAAAGAAGACTTCGTTCAGTGAATGGGCGACGCGCTGTATTTTTAAAAGGCAGGTTTTCCGACTGAGAACAAAACCGAACCCTTAATAAATTAATGTCAATGTCAATTGTTTTTTTAGTGGCTCATTTGTCAGATGTCAGTGATATTTATAAACATACCCACTGTGAATGAACTTAAATATTTTTGGCACTTTATCAGCATTATCTTCTAGTAAAAGCTCAACTAAGCTTGTCTGCCAACAAATTGTTCCCTCCAATGGAGAAATAAAAAACGCTGCATGCAGATGTTTCTTAAAGGTCCGGCATTCTTTATCGATAATGTGAAGTAGAGAAAAGGCAAAATATTAAAGGGATTAACAAAAAACAAAAACAAAAGGTGAATTGCCTAGCAAATAAATCTTAACAACGATTTCCGCAGGGGTCGCCCTGATAATTACCAACTCAGTAACAGAAAATTAAAAGTTCTTTAAATTGCAATCAATCGTTTTAAACGCGGGCGTTGAGCCAGTCATTTTCACCACTCTGGGCCTTTCCAGGCTTTTTATGTACAGTGGTGATTAATAGTATGCAAACACAAATGCCGGACAAATGACTCGGATGTATTAAAAACCACTTACACCCCGACAGCCTTTTAGAAGATTGATTGGGTCACCTTAATGATTCTTCGGAAAACAAAAAAGAGGTTATTGTAGAACCGCAAGGATACAAAATCCTCGGCGAAATGAATTTATTTTAACCCGGAACTGGGGTCGAAGCCACAAGTCAGATTTTGTTTCGGGAAATGTAAAAAAAGGAAAAAACGCGCTGAAAAGGTAAATTGTTTACTTGGTTTCCTTAAAAATAGTTTAAACAGGGAAGAGCTTAATAAAGAATGGAAAGAGAAGATAAGATGACTTGTTGTCCCGGAAAATGAATGAAAAATCACGTACTATTTTGTTATAATTTTTGTAGAAGTGAATTGTTTTCAGACATTTAGTTTTAACTTAATTTATATGCTTTTAACTCGAAACAAATTCTCTCTTGCTCGAAAGCACTCATTTAAGAACTGCAGTGGAACCTCGATAACTCGAACTCGGAAAACTCGAATTCCCGGCTAACTTGAACTCAATTTCCTTTCCCTTGATCAAAATTTCACTAAAATTTACCCTGGTAACTCGAATCCCCCGCTATTAAACTCGAACTGTTTTTCGTCTCCCTTTCACAGTTCGAGCGAGTTACCGGTGTTCTGCTGTAGGTGGAAAGATAAGGCGTGAAAGTAATCGCCGTTTTTAGTCTACCAGTAGACACTGAATAGAAATATTATAGAAAATTGGCCTATCAGAGACATTTTTAAAACTTTGCAATCAAATTATCAGCATTCTTCAAGACCATTCTTCTAGTTTGATCATCTCGAATTCTGACAGATAAGAAACAAACAAAAAAACTTGCATAGAAATAAAATTTAACCTCTCTACAACGGCAACCTCGGGGGGAGAAGAAGTGGCCGCTGTAGAGGGCTGGCCGTTGTGGAGATGTGACCGTCAATGGAGTTTCTACTGTACCGCATTTCTCAGGCCAGAAAATTGTGAATTCATGACTATGTTAAACGTTTGCCATTTTATGTCCTTGTCAATATAAATATTGGGCTTACCGGAAGAATTGTAGTTTTCGTTAATTCAGGTTAGCAATCGACAAAAAAAATGTGCTAATTCAGCTGTTTCTCGTTACGGATGAACTGCCATAGTGTTTTTTAGTTTTCATTTCGTTGGGATCTAAATATACGCGATAGCAGATAAGGTAGAATTTCAAAACAAAGAATCCGTGATAGCGAAAGTGTATATCTTCTATCTACAATTATTTTATGTTTCAATACAATTTACTGTGGTGAATATAAAAATTGCCT